AATCACCATGTACGTATAAATTGTTTAAATAGTTGTCACGCACATTTGAAATAAAAATACCGGGTAGCTTGAGTTGTATGATATACAATATTAATTTATTAAGAAAGGTTTTATATTTTTACAAATGTTATTTTATTAAGATTTTATATATATGAGCGTATGTCTTTAGCGCGCCAGATCGTTGTGTCTGCTATCGCGTTGTCCTTCCTTTTTGTTTAGTGGGTTGGTGTATTGATGAGGTGAGTTCTGTTGTAGTATTATCAGCTGTGGTAAATTGCGATGTAGCATTAGGATGCGCCAGTTTTATCGAGTAGAGGGGGTGGATGCTTAACTCATTTAAACAACATTGTTGACATAAATGTCAATGCTTTTATACTAAAACCACCTTCTTCCAGTGCATCTTTAAATCTATAGACTGCGATTCCCGCTAACAAATAACAATTTTTAATCTTAATTTAGTACTTAGTTATGGGACTTTAGAAGTTTCCGGGTAATGGCGTTTTGTGGGTGTGGTAGTGGTCTGATTACGCCCATCTACGAATATCAAGTTACATCAAGATATCGGACGGAAAGACGTCTGTCAGTCAGACAGTCACTTGGATTTCAACTTTTCTCGCAATCCTGATTATCTATACATAACCCTAACTGTTATACGCAACACGTTGCAAGAGTATAAAAATTTTTCATTTTTTGACGAAATCGAGTAAATTCCCATCAAATTTGTTGCCTATTAACTTATATTATAGGCTATAGACTATATTATATTTAAGTTTTATCTGGCATAAACACAACCGAAGAAGCTAAATTTAATATATTGAGTTGATGAATTTCGTAAATATATAACATATGTACATACTGAAGCACATATTCGGCATACGGTTTTGAACTATGTATGAGAAAAACATACAGTCAATCGGATGTTTGAAAATTCGAATATTTTCAGCACAAAGATACGTTATTATTAGAAAAACATGATTTTTCAAATTTATTAAGATAACGGCCATCTACAATATCAAACTTCTTCTGATACCGTGTTACACATGTAACAAGTTTTATGATTTATCTTAATTTTTACTTAACACTAGAAAGACGGGAGCTTAGTTATATCTCTATTGCCTGAAAGCAGGCAAAATGACTACCTTTCGGCAATGTAGATATAACAAATACACATATATACTACTTAATCCATTTATATGGTATAGAAAAAGTCACAAAATTATTAGAAGCTACGTCATTATTTAAATCACTATTTTATTCGAAAGCAGTCAAAATGACTTTGACTTACGCAATCTAGTGTTAAGTTATTAAATGTTACAGTCGTATATCTCCAGTGCTACCAATCATATTGTTATACCATATAGTGTTGGAAAGCTTTATTTAACCAAAAAAATTTAAATTTGGGGAAGTTGATAAAAAGTTACAGCTGTTCAAAAACGAGTGAAAATAATAAAGAAATTCGCTAAATTTTTATATAAAATAGGGGAGAATGCATCGTAAGCCGCTAATGAAATTTTTGAAGTTTACCGAGACGATGCTGTATCAGTTCGTATAGCACAACAATGGTTCGATCGCTTCCGTTTTGGAAATTTCGATTTACACTGCTGTAAGTTTTACACTGATGGAATAATGTCTATAATGGAAAATTGGCAAAAATAAAATGGTACATATTTGGTTATTTATTATTATAAATATAACATAATAAGTTGAAGTTTGATAAGAAATACGAAAAGAATTTTTCGATTACCCAATATATGTATATCTATAATATACATTGTAAATAACCCTCTATCTTTCTCGATACATGATTGTACTATGTATATCAACATATTGCAAGAGCATAAAAAAAAACATTTAGTGGAATGTTAAAGTATGTAAATGAAAAATTTATAATAAGTGGAATAATTAAAAAAAAAATTTTTTTTTTGTATATTTCTTCTTATCTAATGAAATTATTTCTATAGCATGATAAAATGACCAATTAATTTTTCATATTATTAATCATTTTATCTATTTAAAATGTAATTTTTTGAACAATTTCGTGATGTATTTTAGTAAACATTCCTGTTACTTCGTCAGACCGTTCTTTGAAAAATAATTTTTTTTATTATAATTATTACAATTATCGATTTATTTTTACTTTCAATTCACTATATTATTTACCGTTTTGCTCAGCAAAAGTATGTAGGGCTCCAACAAATATTTTACAGAAGTTTCTGAAAAGTTGATATAAAGGAAAACCAAAAGAGGATAATTTCATAGTTTGTTCACCTCACCATTTTTTTTAACTCTTAGAACTAATGGAGATGGGTATGGAGTTATATATGTATGTTGAAATATATAAATGAAAAAAGTCCATTTGCCTGTGCAAGTTTTCACTTTAGTAAAAAATAAGATATATATATTGATGAAACTTGATAGATGTACATATATTGTAGGTGAGCAAAATGGGACCACTATATAAATAAAATAAAAGGCAAAATTTGTAGAGAAAATCGTAGTGCCTGTGGTTTGAAATGTTGGTTTGGGCCCTTTAATAGCTTTATTTTGCATATTTCAAGTCTACTATAGCTTGGTTGATAAAAACCTACACAGGATAAATATTTTCTAAAAACATTTTATGACATTCTGCATTTTAATCCAAACCTTTTGCTATTGTCGGGTAAGAATTCATTACACTCTCATACAATTTTTGATTCTTGCAGGCAAAAAACTAGTCCAACTACCTTTTGATGCCGTGAATTGAGGTGAAGCTTCTCCCACCCAAAAAAATTTTGCAGATAACAAACAAGAAATAGTCTGGAAAGGTGTGAAGATTGGAGAATATGGTGGGTGCGGTAGCCATTCAAGCTGCAAAAATTTTTGGGGAGTCGTAAAACTTGTATAAGATCTGTCGTTATCCTAGCGAAACTATTCGCTCTGTAAGAACATTAGGGATCAATATACCAAGCTTAGGAATTAAACCAAAAGCCATTTGGCTTCAAAAGTTCTTTCAGGACGAGGTGCACCTTCAAGATCGAAATTGCCAGAATGAAATTTTGCAAACCCACACACATGTCTGCACCATATAGCAGGACGGGAATGATGAGGGACTTGTAGAGTTTATTCTTTGTACGTCGCGGGAGAACTTTACTTCTCAAGTGCCTACTCAGTCCAAAACGGCACCTGTTGGCAAGGGTTATTCTGTGTTGGATTTAGAGGCCGATGTTGTTAATGCTGGTTCCAAGATAGAGGAAATTATGTAAGACTTCAAAATTGTGACTGTCAAAAGTGACGTGTTTTCGAAACGCTAATGCACTGACTATTTTTTTGATAACAGGAGATATTTCGTACACACATACATTTCACTTCCTTCTCTAGTCTGAATAAATCGGAACTAACGGCGAAGTTGTTGAGGCCATTGATATCAATATCATCGAAGTTCGCCAACAGCTGTGCACTCATAGAATATTGTACACGGATAAGATCCAACCAGTTTATTGACGGTTGTCTTCAGTCTTTCACACACAACGCTCGATAGTAGCTTATATGCGATATTAATGGGGCGTATCCCACGGTAATTGTCTTAGATTGTGTGGTCCTCCACACGGTCGGTTGACGGTCCTGTTCAATCTTTTCCATAATTTCGTCGACTGTTTCAACGGAAGGTCGAGAGCGAGATGCACTTTCACATCGAAATTTCCAGAACGGAAGCGACCGAACCCTTTTTGTGATACAGTTTTGTCTCCGTAAAATTGAAAAATTTCATTGTTGGCTTGCCACGAACGCCACGTCCCTTTTTTATGCAAAATTTTATTTTCATTATTCATTTTCATTATTTTCACCCATTTTTGAACAGGTATAATCTTGTTCAACATTTAATTTTTTTTTAGTTAAATGAAGCTTAATATCTCACCTTACCAACACTATATGTTATGGCACAATGTGATAAGTATGGATGATAATGGAATACGACTGCAACAAAATCTATTGACAAAAGACTACCGACTACCCCATAGAAGGATCTCAGAAGATCTGATTTCAAAATTGTATTATGGGCTTGGTACCGCCCTATTTTTTTTTTTTAGATCTACATTTCAACCAAATTTCGTGCACTACGTTATCCGTACATTTGTATGTTTCGAAATTGGAGAATCTAATATAAGAATTTCACACTTTCATTTGGCTTTATAATCGTTAAGCGGTATTTTTTTTATTGAATTTTCAATTGTTCATAAAATGTTTTTTGATGACTCATGCCCAGCTCTTGACCGATGCTACAGTTGTTACTATGCCGGTCTCTTTCGACCAATTCAGCGATTTTATCGCAATTTTCGACGACAGGCCTTTCGGAGCGCGGCGCATCTTCGACCACCACTACACTAGAACGAAACGTTGAAACCATTGTTGTGCGGTAGAAATGGAAACTGTATCGGGTTCATAAACTGCACAAACTTTATTCGAGGCTTGAGATGCATTTTTGCCTTTATCGTAGTAGTACTGTAAAATATGCCGTATTTTCTCTTTATTTTGCTCCATGTTTGCGACGCTATAACTCACGAACGACTTAAAAGAAACGACAATCAATCAAACACGTGTTAGCGCGTGAAATGAGCTTTCCAAAAAGGAATAGCATGACCCGATGCGACGAATACAATTAAACTTACGCGCTCTCTGCGCCAATAATATTTATTTTAACAAAGTTAACGTATATATTGGATATAAAAAATGTTTACCAGAATTTCCACAGCTGTTGTAATTCAATTTGTAACCGAAACATCGGAATAAAAATTAATAAAATTTTTAAACCAAAGGTTCTTAATTAAAAAATTTTTGTGTATATATAATTTTAGCCAATTATCTTGTATTTGATATGAATGTCACGGACATGTAGAAACATGTAATAAGGAAACGAAGTGAGTCTACGAAAAAATATAATTTAATAAGTCTACGATATAAAATCTTGTGTATATAATAGGAAGTCGTGTTAGTTACACCAGGCTGAACCGATTTGGCTGAAAATTGGTGAAGAGGTAGCTTAGAACAAGAGTAAGGACGTAGGATACTTTTTATGTTTTTATGTTAAAATTGAATACAATTCATAAATACAAAAATTATATTTTAAATCATAAGCATTTGATCTAAATTCATGTAAGAATCGTTTGAAAATGATTAGTTCACCAAAAATGCCATGTCTTCTTAACTAGTAGTCATAAACTTAATAATAGAAATCATATAGATGGTATTAGTAGTACTTACGATGTATCAGACACATTAAAACGTGGACGGGTCCTCTAGTAATTTAATAAAATAACGAGTAAGATTGTAATTAATCGCATGAGTATTGAAGTTTGGTAAACAACTGAAATTATTTCCTGGCTTTTTTTCTTGCATAAAGCAAGTTCATCGAACCATTTATTTTAGTTTTCTTTGGTAATATTAGCCTTTTGCATGCTTCTACAATAAATAATAATATAAGTAAATGAAAATTTACGATTTAGTATAGGTAAGGCCGTAAGGTAGATCCTCGTACAAAAGGCAATTCAATATTCCACTTGGACAGCTGTGAAAGTTAATATTTTGTGATTTCCAAAATTTATTGGCATCTAGTAAATCAGCAAACTATTATAGATCGAAAAAGCGTATTGAACAAAAAGCTACTTCGCTATTTTCGTCGAATGTGTATCTGCCGAAATGTTTTGTTCTTAGTGTGACGAAATTTTACAGTTTAGGAGTGACTAAATGATTCCACCTCTCCTTCCACTTGCCAATTTGCATGCAAAGAACAAGTAATTGAGAAAACCTCTTGCATTCCATTCGTAACCAGAAAAATCTCATATCGCATCTATAAGTTTCTGTTGTTGATTAGCGCTTGCAAAATTCACGGGTAAAGTCAATATAGAGGCTTTCAGTTAGTTCTGATAAACTGTCGATTGCCCGAATTTTCCTCTAATTCAGCAAACGGAGTAAATGATATAAAGTAAAAAAAATTGTTAAAGAAGATCATCAACGTACGGAGTTCTCCGGAAGTGTTATAAGAACTGTTTTCCATCGTACGAAATTGCTTGGAAAAGAGGTCCGAATCGGAACAGAGGCACAATATAGTTTGAAGCCGATACGAATTGGTTTCCCTTTTATAAACATTTTGCAGTAGTGAATACCGAAATATGGAATCATATGCTCATCAATCGAAAAATGAGTAGAGTAGGTTTGGCAAATCGTTTTTAGACTGCTGCTCATCAGATGCAGTATCGATTTTATTGTCTGAAAAGAGTGTCGAGCCATAGATTATTTTATCGTAATAGGAATCTCCTTTAAASTCATAATATCAATTCAAGCTGAGTATTATAGCACTATTTCTGGAAAACCTTGTTTGAGAACAATTGTTTCTAATGGATGTCACTCGCGCGTTGTGGTTTGCTGGAACGAATTCTTTAATAGACTAGACGGTCATAGAATTCTCGACATTACGGAGAGTAAAATTTGGATATTCGACCAAAACCTCATGCACATTCCGTTGCTTTCTATGACTGCTTTAGTAAACGTACTATGCAAAGCATATGTGCAATGCATAGTTTTCGGAAGGCCATTGCACTAACGAAGTATGAAATTCGTGAATGCATGAATGAATTTGCATGCATTGAACTGAAAATTTAAAATGGAATGTTCGCTGATGAAAAATTTATTTTAATATGTATATTATTTATTACATTTTAATTTATTTACTAGTTATTTTTATTATTATTTGGACAATGCATGGGACCAAATAAATGCTTTACATATTTTAGCTAAGCAGGGTTGTAATGCATAAATGCTTTGCATATTGCTTTTACTCAAGCATCCTATGTCTTCTGCATCTGTTTCGGAGCCCTCTTTAACAATCCAGCTGAAATATTCCATTAGTCGGTTGTGTAGTTCACTAACCCTGAATCACCCAATTCTGTTCACCACGCTAGCTTCGCTATTGTCCGTTACAACCTTGGATGCGTTTGGGTTGGTTTGGTTGGATGCGAATTTGGAGTAAAAATTGTACTTTGCCAAATATTTTCACTTTTATTGAAAATTCACTTTACGAAGATTGCCACTAAATTCATAAAATTCCACTTCTGTCACGAAATGTTTTATTGTTTTGAAAAATGAAACGGTTAAATAATATTTAAATCTTAACAATTTGCACAAACCACATACTACATAAATATTATTTKTCAGTAATCAATAGGTTAAAATATTCGCTTTAACTTCCTACTTTACCATTTCTATACCCTGAACATGATATGTTAAGTTTGCACACAAAGTTTGAAACACCCAGAAAGAAACTTCGGAACTGAGTCGATTTAGCCCTGTCCTGTCTGTCTGTGTATATACGCGTACTAGTCCCTACTTTTTTGAGTTATCAATCTGAAAATTTTTACGCCACCTTTCCTCTATCAATATGAGAGCACTATATACGTAGATACAAACTGTTCAATCAAAATCATGTCCAAATACCATATAGAAAACTTTTTTATATGACGAAATAACTTCGAAATTTTGCATGGATTCTTAGATCCGACGGCCATAGCATTTAGTCGCTATACAAACTCATTTATTTAAATGTAGTCCTTGAATAGAAAACTTTTGCATAATACGATCTTTACGAAGCGTGGCTTCTTGTTTCTAACTCACATGTTAAATAAGATTTTTCTATATTTTTCCAGTTCTTTTACTTTTTTGTGTGTATACTCTCGCAACATGTTAGTACATAGTTATGTTCCCCCCACGGTTGTTTGTATCACCTAATAAAAATCCGAGATAAATATATCGTTATATGTACATACCAGAGACCTGCATTGAATATGATCGATTCGGT